CCTACAATTTTTTGTTTATAACGTAGTTTATACGGATTATTTTCAAAAAAATATACGTATTTTGGAAATGTTGAGTCGAATTAGTCTAGAATCGATTAATTTTATGAAAGAAAACCTTTCAAACAGCCGTAGTCCGTAAACTATGATTCCTACAAAATTGATTCATAAAGAACGGAACGTATCTACCGTCTTATAGGGAGATCTACTGTATACAGTGCATTCATAAACTACATACTTTTAATTTAATAAAAATAAAGTAAATGCCATCAAAGAAGTATCTACCATCTAAAGATGCCCAATCTTTCATATATGCTATAGTCTCAAGTATGGTTATTAATTTTATATTAATTTCAGTGTTTTGTCCTATGTTATATTTAATTTTAAGATTATTTTGGAACATTTTCTGATTATCTGATTAACATGCACCTGATCCTGATAATGGTCTATAAATAGGCCAACACTTAGATTTACAGTAATCTGTGACATGTTTTATGTTGAGTTTCTTAAGTTTAAGTGTAGAAAGCAATTTTTCAAACATAAAAATGTTTAATCTTGAATTAATTTATCTTTTTCAAACCAATGTTACATGTTATGGAATACTTTGCACCTGTGCTCTTATCCAGTACCTAATTCTCACCATTTGATCACACTGTCAACATTTCATGATATCACAAGATGGTGAATGGAGGAGGTGTTGAACAAGCAAGACTATTTGCTAAGTGGAAGATTGCAATGCACTGCTTAACAGTGCCGTCACAGCATCAATGCAAACCATTTTTATAAAATCTTTTTTTATTCTGTATACTATTTTGATTAAAAAAATAATTTTAATCATGTGTAATAAAAATAAAAGATATTATTTTACAAATTTATTTTTGATATGCAATTGCATATCACAAGATACTGCTGCTTGAGATCATATCTTGGAACCTGAGTTTCCACACAGAAAACCCATAATATGATCTCAAGTACAAGGGCACAAGGAACATGAGAAAATTTTTTGCAGAAATGAGAAGGTAACGTCTATCTACCAAATACAAAAACTTTGTACCCATTCCATAAAATGTGAATTTTCCAAGACAATATATCAAGTTATGCACAGAAAACTTGACAGATTGCAGATAAATGGGTAAAATATTAAATCAATTCATTTAACTATACTAATTTGCATAATTTTTGAAAAATAGTTACAGTTGTGAGCATTAAAATACCTTGTGAAACTAATATAAACTAAATATATAGAAATGATTTATTTAAATCATTCAAAAATATTTATGGGCACAAATGCAACTCTGAATGAGGCAAACGTGACCTTATTACAGCTGTAAACCATGCCTGTAGGAGTAAAAAGCTCAAATGAACCAATAAACAATATATGACCCTTTGCAAAATGGGCTAAAATTCAAAAGTGAAAAATCTAAAGCTATTTCTCAAAACAATGAAAAAAAAAAAAAAAATCAACCTTTTTCCTCTTTACTGGAGACAGTTAAAAGTTCACAAAACATGAAAGAAATGCCAAAGCACCAGCTACTTCCGAGATGCAATCGGACTCACACCGCAAATTCATTAAGCCCATCGAATTTAACAAACAGCCGGTCACAGGTGAATATCAAACCAAGAGTCATAATTTGAGATATGGTTCCCATGACATTTTTGGTCTGAAAGTCTAAAATTATGAGCAAACCCCTCATTTAGAACTGTATTTTACCTATTATGTATAAATAAATAAAAATATTAAATATAATTTTGTCATTTTAAAATTAAAACATCCATTATCAGAATATTGTATACTATTACGTCAATTTGACGTAATTTTATACTTCTCCGTTATAATAAAGAGAGGAATGACGTCAAAATGACGTAAAAACATACAATACCTGAAACACAAAAGCGTCTTCCATGACAATACGATCATTCATTAATTGATCAAATGAATTAAATTAAACGACGTTTAATGTTTTACAGATCTAAAATAAATGCAATTATTAAATTTCCTTAATTATTTCTTATTTAAATGAACATTTTTTTACAATTACGAAAATAATCCAAGATGGCGGCCGATTAGCAGANAGGGTGCGTTTACTTCTGAGTTAGCAGTGCTAATTCTGATAACCGGATGTGACGTCATTAGCACGTGTATTCGTGCTTGCTTGTCCAATTCGAAAGTGAACACATACGTTAACAAGAAATATGGCGGTTTCCAGCCATATTTCTTGTTAACGTATGTGTTCACTTTCGAATTGGACAAGCAAGCACGAATACACGTGCTAATGACGTCACATCCGGTTATCAGAATTAGCACTGCTAACTCAGAAGTAAACGCACCCTTAGATTTACAGTAATCTGTGACATGTTTTATGTTGAGTTTCTTAAGTTTAAGTGTAGAAAGCAATTTTTCAAACATAAAAATGTTTAATCTTGAATTAATTTATCTTTTTCAAACCAATGTTACATGTTATGGAATACTTTGCACCTCTGCTCTTATCCAGTAATTAATTCTCACCATTTGATCACACTGTCAGCATTTCATGATATCACAAGATGGTGAATAGAGGTGTTGAACAAGCAAGACTATTTGCTAAGGGGAAGATTGCAATGCACTGCTTAACAGTGCTGTCACAGTATCAATGCAAACCAATTTTATAAAATCTTTTTTTATTTTGTATACTATTTTGATTAAAAAAATAATTTTAATCATGTGTAATAAAAATAAAAGATATTATTTTACAAATTTATTTTTGATATGCAATTGCATATCACAAGATACTGCTGCTTGAGATCATATCTTGGAACCTGAGTTTCCACACAGAAAACCCATAATATGATCTCAAGTACAAGGGCACAAGGAACATGAGAAAATTTTTTGCAGAAATGAGAAGGTAACGTCTATCTACCAAATACAAAAACTTTGTACCCATTCCATAAAATGTGAATTTTCCAAGACAATATATCAAGTTATGCACAGAAAACTTGACAGATTGCAGATAAATGGGTAAAATATTAAATCAATTTATTTAATTATACTAATTTGCATAATTTTTCAAAAATAGTTACAGTTGTGAGCATTAAAATACCTTGTGAAATTAATATAAACTAAATATATAGAAATGATTTATTTAAATCATTCAAAAATATTTATGGGCACAAATGCAACTCTAAATGAGGCAAACGTGACCTTATTACAGCTGTAAACCATGCCTGTAGGAGTAAAAAAGTTTTCTCAAATGAACCAATAAACAATAAATGACCCTTTGCAAAATGGGCTAAAATTTAAAAGTGAAAAATCTAAAGCTATTTCTCAAAACAATGAAAAAAAAAAAATCAATCTTTTTCTTCTTTACTGGAGACAGTTAAAAGTTCACAAAACATGAAAGAAATGCCAAAGCACCAGCTACTTCCGAGATGCAATCGGACTCACACCGCAAATTCATTAAGCCCATCGAATTTAACAAACAGCCGGTCACAGGTGAATATCAAACCAAGAGTCATAATTTGAGATATGGTTCCCATGACTTTTTTGATCTGAAAGTCTAAAATTATGGGCAAACCCCTCATTTAGAACTGCATTTTACCTATTATGTATAAATAAATAAAAATATTAAATATAATTTTGTCATTTTAAAATTAAAACATCCATTGTCAGAATATTGTATACTATTACGTCAATTTGACGTAATTTTATACTTCTCCGTTATAATAAAGAGAGGAATGACGTCAAAATGACGTAAAAACATACAATACCTGAAACACAAAAGCGTCTTCCATGACAATACGATCATTCATTAATTGATCAAATGAATTAAATTAAACGACGTTTAATGTTTTACAGATCTAAAATAAATGCAATTATTAAATTTCCTTAATTATTTCTTATTTAAATGAACATTTTTTTACAATTACGAAAATAATCCAAGATGGCGGCCGATTAGCAGACGATATTATCGTTTGCAGGTTAATTAATTAATTATTACTCCCATTTACGATTAATTTACGACTTTTAAGGAAATTCTTTTATTAAATATGTTTAAAATATTGAAGAAGGAAGAATTACCTGTCAAATTTGGCATTTTTGCTTCGATATTTTAAATTACAGGTTAATAAACCATCATAATCCAACCAACACCTCTAATCAAACAACATCCATCAGACTACAAGTATCCCTCTGGTGGTAGTATTGCGCGAACCTGAAAAGAACATAAAATATTAGCAGACGATAATCTATAAAATAAAAACCGACAACAATATTTAATTTATTTAATATATTAATTATTTCTCAAGTCCAAAATGATTTTCGGAAATTATAATATAACATTATATCAGACTTTTTAAAACTTTCTTTCCGTGGGCACTAAAAAGGTCTTTTCACCCAGCCCGTTATGGCTTCGGCCAGGCCCACTTTAAGGAGGATGGATGGTGCCCAGACGTAGAAACCTTAAGGGCACGATGCCCCGATTAAATATATATGAAACCAATGCAAACCGGAAGTTACGTTATTTCAATTTAAAATTTTTGCCCGAAAGGTGTTAGATAGATGACTGACACTTTGTATTGTTTTGTTGTGTTTGTATACAGCAGCAATGCGGCGAGTGTGCGGTCTGCTAAACGGAATGCCTTAAGGGAGAACTTTTATGGGAAATGCTCCTTTTTGCATTTTCAATGTTTCAAGGTCCAGAGTCGAAAAACGTAAAAACAGTGCGGATTTTTTTTATTGAAGAAGACCATACATTCCTTCTGTTATATGTAATAGCCGGGAAAATAAAAATAAATCATTATCAAATCTTTAGTCGATGGGTTTTGTTGTTGAATGTTACAGTATTACTGGAAACTTAACTAATGTATAACGTTTATCAGCCGTGGACTCTTTGAACTCAAAATACTTTAGCACGGATCCTTGAGCTGTCAGAAAAAACAATTTATATATAGAGTTATGAACGTTAAGCATTAAATTTTACATTTATTATTAAAGACTATATCCTTAATTATAGGGTAGCTGTACTCTTATTAGTTTTTACTCTATAATCCTTTTATATCGGGTATAGTATACCATACAACAAATCCAGTGATTTAACTACGTACAATTCATTATTCAATTTTCTCTTCTATGTATGCGTTTCCTGCAGGTAATTTCTCAGTCCCTCTTCAGTGCCATACCTACATCTTTTCTCATTATAATTTTATAATATAAAAAAATATAAATACCAATTTGATGACTACTAACAATCTGTACGCGATTTCATAAAAGAACCACCATAGGTGAAAATTCAATTCCGGGTACAAGTACATATTAAGTGTTTATACTATTTAAAACAAAAATTATATATTAAATACTACAGGGTGTCCCAAAAGTTTCCATACATACAAAGGTGAAATGTAATCTTATTCACAAAACATTAAAATGTCAGCATTAAGATTTGGTATCAATGTATTGATGGAGTAAGGCAATGGAACACTTGGGTGATCTGATAACTTCTAGCAGGACTTCCTATGTGGAAACTGGATTCTGTTCAGGTGTTACACACCCGAAAAAAACCCAGAACACTGCATGGTAGCCAGCCCCTTGGTCAGGCACGAACCAATGATCAACTACCAGTGTTCAACGGTTTTCTTGTTTTCCAGATGGCGTTAAAGTAAAATAAATAAGTTCTTCATATAATCTTTTTTATAATTCAAAAATTTAAATAAGTTGGTATGTTGTTTAGCTCCAATTTTCATTGAAAGAGGGCATTCATAGCTGCCTATACGAAATATCTCTTGGTGAATTCATTTTTATTGTAACTATCATAGATACATTTTTAATACACTGTATAAGAGATGTAATGGCATAACGTTTCATTTGGAATAGAACTATGTCAGGTGTATTAAAGCCGCTAAAGAAGGCAATACTCCCATTATTGCCAGACAGGTTAAATATAATCACTTCTTGTAAAATTGTACACACATTCAAGGGAAATGATTTACACAATTTACTTCGTAACGCACAATTCATAAATATGATCTTAGGTATTAATAATTCGAGTCACTGTGAAAACCATTACTTTATCGAACGAATACTTTTATCATCACAGTTATACAAAGTCATCCAGAGGGTAACGAGGGGTCGGAGCAAAATGCATATTTGGGGTTCTGTAGCAATAAAAGAAAACAAAACCATTGTATAAGGACCCCCTAATTTCTTTAAGACTTAGGACAATTTGCTGCTTTTGCCGTCCCTTCACGAAACATATAACAGCAGGACTCTCTCTGGCGGCCCTGCTGTTACATATTTCGTGTTTCTAGTGCTATATTTTCTTTATGAATTTTGGACACTTGTAAGCCTATACAATTATATAAAACTTAATTTAGTACTTGTTACAAACGTCATACATGCTGTACACTCCCGCTTCCTGACACATCAACCAGGCAATCCAAAGTGACTTTAGTTATGCCACTATCATAAGTTATGACACAATATGCCAAACACTACAAAACATTTTTCATGTTCATTTTAGTTGAAGAAAAATTCTCTCGTCTTCATTGGCGGACCTACATTTTTGATAGACTGTTATGGAACTCCTTTGCAATCAGCAATAATAGGGCAACACCCAGAAGTAAACTCACTTTGGGCACCTCCGAGATTAGGAACCACGAAGCTTTAGTTTCATTAGTTTCATAGTAGACCCGCCAGTGCTCATCTTACTTCTACATTTTCTTCTTGCCCGTTTATAAAGTATATAGCCACGGCATTGTTTGATTCATTTTCCGAATTGTTAATAGTTCTTTTCAAACGACGGACATTAACAATTAAAACAATTAATAATACGAGTACAAAGACAATCAAACTAATACACACGAGTGCAGTTTTCCATGATGCAAAATAAATCACTTCCTCCTTGCATTTATCCGTTGATATAACTTGGACAAAGCTGGATAAATCGGAACCACTCATGCAAGAAACATTAGCGAAGTCCAGTATTTTGTGTTTGTTTCTAATTAACCAATCCTTGGTAAACAGAGAATCACAACCACAGCTCCAGTTGTTTCCAGCTAACAAAATTTTTAACTCATTCCATTTATCAATCCGATACATCAAGGACGAAGGCAATCGAGTTAATTGATTTCTGTTTAAGGAAAGATAAGTGAGAGTCGGTGGTAAGTTATCGATAGAAGTTAAGGAATTGTCGCTTAAGTATAAATGTGTGACATTCCTACACAACAGTGGATCAACATTTGAAATTTTGTTATGCGTAAGATCCACAACAGTAGCATTTTCGATAAGAATTTCAGGCATATCTCTCATGTCTTTTCGAGAACAATTTACTAAAACCCCTTCGAAGTCCTGGAAGCATTCGCAATGTACGGGGCAATCTTTTGTTACAGGACACATGCGGTACGTCGTCGTAATATCAAGTAACTTTTTCTTCTCCTCGTAGCACTCTAAATTGGTAAGATTTGGAAAAATTTTGGATGCCGTCAATAAATTTACGTTTAGAAAGTCGACAAATTGGCGAAGATTGCAATCGCAGATAATCTTGCTGTTCCTCAAATCGTAAGTAGTGAAATTAGATCCGTATTCACGGGTATCGATGTATATGGTCCTTATATTACTCTCGGACAGGTCAACGATGGCTCGGTTAGGAGTATGCAGCGATAATGTCACGTTACTAAAATTACTTCTAGAGAAATCAACGGAAGTCAAGCTATGCTCCGTCCAATTTATCATTGGCCAGGCCAGGAAATTTGAAAATTTGGCAGAAATCTTAGTCAAATGCTTACTTCTGCCGAAAGGTTGTTTAACGGAAAGTCTAAGGAAAGAACTATGAGATATGTCGAGGACTCGTAAGTTAATAAGTGGAAGAAAGACGTCTTCGGGTAAGTGAGTGAGGCGATTGAATCCCAATTCAAGAACTTCTAAAGACGATAAATTCTGAAAAACATTTGTGGGAAGTGTTTGCAAACGATTAAACGTTAATTGGATGTATTGAAAATTGATGAGATCATCGAAGATGCCCGGAGGAAGGTCCTGTATTTTATTCACTCCTATGTAAAGTTTTTCTAAATTCTTGCTATTTTTAAAAAGATCTGGCGGTAAATTGACAATTTCATTGGTTGTAAGAAAGACTCCTGTTAAGTTTGTTGCGTCAGAAAATATTCCTATTTCCAAGTGCATTAAACTGCAGTTTATAGCAGCGAAATGTTTCAAGTTTCGCAAACCGGCGAAGAATCCAGGAGGAAACCGTCCTATCTGATTATAGCTTACGGAAAAAACCTCTAATTTTGGGCAGGCAGCGAATAAATTATCAGGAAGTGCAGTTAATCTATTTTCCTGAACGAAAAATGAGATCAAATTCGACAGATCGGACAGCAAGTCACTCGGTAAATTTATCAGTTTATTTCCAGATAAATCCAAAACTTGCAATTCAGTGAGATTCTTGAGAAGGAGCGGATCGATTTCTTCCATTTGATTGTTGCTCAGGTTCAGTATATTCAAATTATAAAGTCCCTGAAATACTTGGCTCGGTAACGTTTCTAAAACTCCATTTTTCAGACTTAATGTTAAAAGACTGGATAAATTTTGAAAGGGTCTCGGCATAAAGGTCCCAAACTCGTAATTCTCGATGTTGAGATACGCAACGGAAGAAACATTTTCAAAGGTCACATTTAACACGCCCGAAGTTCTTAAACCAGTCAATGTTATTGTTCTTAGAGTGGGAATATCATTAAACGTAGCACTAACGAAATTATTCATAACAGTCGACTCGAGGTTAACGAGGACGTCGATAACTTTCACCCCCGACACAAATTGTCCCACATCAAACTCCGACATATAACAATCATTAATATAAACGTGATTTGTACTTTCAGCTTCTAAACATCGCATTAACTGCCCATAAATAGTTTCGTTTTTACAAAACACATAGAAATAACTGCGAATAATTTGAGCATAAGATAGCTTCTCTGTCATGTAGCATCTAGTTTCGGAATTGATGTCTTTCGAATTTATGCATCGATACCCTGTCCATTTTTTCCAGAAGTCCACGCAACCGTACGCCACATTCAGTAGCTGTATTAAGATAAATAACCTCATTAAGTCGAATAGTCACGTTCTTCGAACACAACAATACACTTTAATTAGCTAAACGTTTGCTTAACGTTACCTTTTATAAGCCACCAAAATCCAAATCGATGTAAAATAATTCACAAGTTACATCCTGTTACTTTTGCAATTACATAAAGATGAAGTGTTGCATCACTTAAAGTAAACACTGGTTTAATCACGTGTCTAAGATAGTGACGCTAGAGAACTGTATAAATATTTACCTTTGATAATTGTAAAAAATATACTTTTATAATGAATTATTACAAGTTTTTTGAAGTATTTAAATATTTTATTTGTAAAAAATTACATTAATTAAGAATATTTTAGTATGTTTTTGTTGTTGTAACAGGAAAGGAAATTCCAGTCAGGGAAATTGCCAGTTGCTATTTGTTCATCTGATCTTTCCTGTTATTTAATTAGTCACGTTTCTACTTTCGATGGAAGAAAATGAAACTTTAAACTTTTAAGAATTTAATGAATATTCTGTTACAAAACTTATTGTTCACAAAATGGAGATCAAAAGATAGATGATTGAATTAGTACAGTATACCTCCCCTATAACACTGTTGATACTGTAATTCCGTTTTATATGAATTCCATGTTGTACGAGTCACTTAGATTTTACAAATACGTGAGCCCTTCACAGCCCGGCATACGTATTTGTAAGATCTAAGTGACTCGTACAACATGGAATTCATATAAAACGAAATTATCAACAGTGTTATAGGAAGGTCTACTGTATAACCGTCAATTTCATTTATCCGTTAGCAGAAAATGGCGGATTATTCATGCCCTTTTGTAGTGGAATTCCACTACAAAACATTCCACTAATTCCACAAAAAATTCCATTGTTTTGTTGTCACCGTCACACATTAACCACTACAAAACAATGGAATTTTTCTCTTAAATTGAAATGTTTTTACAGGGACTGTTATACAGGGTGTCCCATAAGTATGAAACCATAGAAGTTATTTATTATTTTACACGTAAAGCATGGTATGTAAGTATGAAGTATGGAGATGGGATAAACTGTATTGATAAAGTGTATGCAAATTTAGTTTCATAACAAATATATAACAATACAGAAAAATATTCAAAATTGTATGAGGCTGCCGGGGGGAAGATTTTAAAACGAAATAATGATAATATGAGATATATTATTATCATCTTCATTGCTGCCTGGACTTCCGAGTGATAACAGTCCACGACATGTGGGAGCGGTTGAGTCAGAGGTCGATGCCTCGTTTACAAACAACACAACCCGTTTATCAGACAATTAACTTACAGATAAAGTACAATCGTCACGAAGGTTGAAGTCCTTGTATATTTCGGCGCGTAGTCTTCAAATGAAGAAGAGGAAGATCGGGCGACGAAGGTAGTTTTCATTCGCTGACCGGATGTTGCATTCTAACTCCAGTTCTAACAGGAAACGATGTCCGGTGAATTCAGATCGGAATTTCCGAAGATTCTCTCAACGAAAGTCGATAACTTTTGGAGGATACATCGGCAAGGACGAAGATGTAACCTTGAGGGAAACACCCCAGCGAGGGACATCACGGCAAACAACGAAGTATCTCATTTCATTTCACCACAGTGGAGTAGTATAGCACTCAGCTTTGTCACTCCGGAAGAAACAGGAAGGAAGAGTCGGTCTTATAGAAGACGACCAATCCGAGGAAGACAGAAGAGAGGTTACGAAGTAACCAAAGCCGGTCTTATAAGAGACGACCCCCGCGAGAAAGGGAGACAGAAATGCCTTCCGGGAGGACTTGGGGGAAAGCTGGCCCCTATTCAGGCGTCATTGGCAAGGAGGAAAACCCGGAAAAAACTCCCGCTGCCAGCTCGTCCGAGTGAGGCGCGAACCTCCGATCGAACTCCGGCGTTTAGGGTCTGGTCACCACTATCAAGCGGAGACGGAGTCCACTCGGCCGCCG